ACCGGCAGGGAACTACCAGTGTCTGCAACACCACTGGCAGGGAACTACCGGAGTGTCTGCAACACCACCGGCAGGGAACTACCAGAGTGTCTGCAACACCACCGGCAGGGAACTACCAGTGTCTGCAACACCACCGGCAGGGAACTACCAGTGTCTGCAACACCACTGGCAGGGAACTACCGGAGTGTCTGCAACACCACCGGCAGGGAACTACCGGAGTGTCTGCAACACCACCGGCAGGGAACTACCGGAGTGTCTGCAACACCACTGGCAGGGAACTACCGGAGTGTCTGCAACACCACTGGCAGGGAACTACCAGGGTCTGCAACACCACCGGCAGGGAACTACCAGGGTCTGCAACACCACTGGCAGGGAACTAGCGGAGGGTCTGCAACACCACCGGCAGGGAACTAGCGGAGGGTCTGCAACACCACCGGCTGGGAACTACCAGGGTCTGCAACACCACTGGCAGGGAACTACCAGGGTCTGCAACACCACCGGCAGGGAACTACCAGGGTCTGCAACACCACTGGCAGGGAACTACCAGGGTCTGCAACACCACCGGCAGGGAACTACCAGGGTCTGCAACACCACTGGCAGGGAACTACCAGGGTCTGCAACACCACCGGCAGGGAACTACCAGGGTCTGCAACACCACCGGCAGGGAACTACCAGGGTCTGCAACACCACCGGCAGGGAACTACCAGGGTCTGCAACACCACCGGCAGGGAACTACCAGGGTCTGCAACACCACCGGCAGGGAACTACCAGGGTCTGCAACACCACTGGCAGGGAACTACCAGGGTCTGCAACACCACTGGCAGGGAACTACCAGGGTCTGCAACACCACTGGCAGGGAACTACCAGGGTCTGCAACACCACTGGCAGGGAACTACCAGGGTCTGCAACACCACTGGCAGGGAACTACCAGGGTCTGCAACACCACTGGCAGGGAACTGCCGGAGGGTCTGCAACACCACTGGCAGGGAACTACCGGAGGGTCTGCAACACCACTGTGGGCCAGAATCAAGGAAGTCATTACCAGAGGCACGAGGCATCAAGTTGCTGGCATCTCCAGCATGCCTGGCCACCCTCCCGTGACACCCCCCCCCTCTAGGACGTGGCCTTGTCGCTCCCTCTCCCCCCCTCATTACCCCCCCCCCCGTCACTGATAACCCTCTCTCATGATTACCCCCTTCCCCTGTAGCCCCCTTCCCCTGTAACCCCTTCCCCTGTAACCCCCTTCCCCTGTAACCCCTTCCCCTTCCCCTGTAACCCCCTTATCTGATTGCACCTTTCTCCGATGAACTCCCTTTCTTGATTACCTGCTTCCCCCGATAACCCCCTTCCCTTATAACCCCCCACTACACCAGGTAGGTGGGGAACACCGACCCCCTCTCATCACCCACCTATTAACATTGGTACAATAGAATAGGGGAAACTACAAGAGGCTTATTGGTCCGTACGAGGCTACGAATCCCGGGCAGAACAGAAATGGTTGGGCACATTTCCTTTTGCCTAATATCACTGTTCACCTAGTAATAATTTAGTCTCCGGGAGTTAGGCAACTGTTGTGGGGGTTGCCTTCTGAGGAAGGTTAGTACCTCCAGCTTCTGGGGACCCCCAACACAAGCCTGAATTATATATATACACAGGCTCCCTGTCCCTCAAAATATACATCACAATGGCGTGATGTATCAATGAGGAACTACCTCATTCTACCTACTAGGTAGAAAAGGAACTACCTTTTTTCTCTCATCTTTTATTATTTTCATGCTATGTAACTGTTATCATTTGTATAAATTTTGCAAGTATTTACCTACTTATAAGTTTCTTAGATTAAGGACCTGCCCGAAACGCTGCGCGTACTAGTGGCTTTACAAGAATGTAATGTAATTACTAAGGAACTCATTTCGGGATCATAGGGTGACTTGAGACACCGTTCTGGGCATGCCCAGACACCTGCCTTAGCCCACTCAGCCACGATAGGACAGAAGGCGACCAACCCCCAACTCGACTCAATCAACCCTTCCTCAGACCAGTCCATCCAGCAGTCGACCCCAAAGACGCATTCAGCAATTTTAACATGTTGTACATTTAAATCAGGAATTTTCTCAAATATAAATTATTATTATATACCAAAATATGCATAGTTAGGCATTGTTTAGGTTAGGTGTTTAGGTTTTATTAACCATTACTTGTATTTGTAGCACGTGGGTGAAGCATTTACAGCGTTCTGGTTTGAACAAAAGCTTTGGCTGGTGTTTCTGAGGACGGCTGACTTCCCCGGAGGCTTCTGGAGGCCGGAACTGGTGCCGAACCAGGATTTTATGGTTGGCCAGCCTACACTCTGGCCTGCGGCCATTGGTGTTCACAGTCTTACTACATTTATTTTTTTTTAACTTTGTGACCCTTACCTTGAGGTTACCTTGAGGTGCTTCCGGGGCTTAGCGTCCCCGTGGCCCGGTCATCGACCAGGCCTCCTGGTTGCTGGACTGATCAACCAGGCTGTTGGACGCGGCTGCTCGCAGCCTGACGTATGAGTCACAGCCTGGTTGATCAGGTATCCTATACCTGATCAAGTTAATCAAGGTAACCCTTGTTATCTTTATGATTTCTTTGTGATCCTTTAGATGCCCAAACAATGATAACCACAGTGGCGTGATATATCGGCAGAACGCCAGCTCGTCGCCTCATTGCCCCAAAATTATTTTCTCCGATATATTACGCCATTGTGATTGTTTTTGTTGCGTGAAGGATGGTGGTGAGGGCGTGAACACCATTACTACAGGCCAGAGTGTGAGTTGGGTAAAACCTTTGTAAAACCATGTTGTCAATCATTTATCTATCTTGCTGTTTCAAGATCTACATTAACTGCTTTTGAGATTATCAATCAAACAATTTTCCTACAATAGACGTTAGGCTAATTGACCGACAGTTCGATGCGAGTGATTTGTTTTCCTTGTTAAAGATTGGCACATTTGCAACTCTGCACAATTCCAGTACTCTGCTTGAGTGTAATGATTATTAAATATGTAAAACAAAAGCCTGGCGTAAGTCTTTACAGTCTTCCAGCAACCTGACGAGCACTTCATCGGACTTTGAGGACATGTATGGCAGTAATTTTTATGTTTAGTAATTTTCTCCCTGGTAACGTCTATACAATTTCATTTGCTTTCATCACCTACATAATTTGTTCAGATGTAGGTCAAATATCTCGACTTTTTCTCTAGTTAAAACAAAGTACTATAGAATGCTATTTGTCATAATCAGCCACATGACCGAACTAGTTTGTCAAAGGACCAATCTTTGTTGGGTATAATGCAACCACGCCCACATCCTTCCCTACGGCCCGCCCTCTAACCCCGCCCACACCCCACTGACACCCCTCACGCCTTCTCTCCCCTCACCTCTCACTCTGTGTGATGACGTCAACGAGCTGCCAGTCTTGTAAACATGTTCATATTATTGTTAAGTTGGACAATAATCTTGGTACAGGGCCGCCAGCACCAGTGACACCTGCACCACGCTAGTAACCACTCTACTCACCACACAATACCATCTTGCTCTCCCTCGCACCCATCACAGCCTACTTAACCTGCCTACTCCACTACTGGAACCTGCTACAAACTAACAAAATGAACTACAAAGATATTTGAAGTCACTAGGCTATCTGCACTTTAGACAAGAGGATAAACGTTAAGAATTCTGGTGGAGAGCAAACTGCACTATTGACATTGAAATTGAAATAAGTTTATCGAGGTAAAATACACACAAAGGGATGAGGTAGCTCAAGCTATTCTCACCCCGTTCAGTACATCGTGTAAATACATACATATAAACACATCACAAACAATAAACATATTACCGAACATTCTGAGAGATAAACATCTATATTTCCTAACTGCCCTAGCTTACTCTAACCCAACACATCCTAGCACAACCCACGGCCACACTTACGCTGATTCATCCTATCCTATACGGACGTGACAAGCTTAAACCAGCCAGCCTTGTGTACCATATCCCAGTTGGGACGTCCCGGTGACCGTCCTTCAACCACCGTGCTCGGTGAGATAGGCTAAGGGCGTAATGATTCTTTCTTTATTATGCACCCCATACCCATCCCGTGGGGGGGGCGGAGGACAGGGTTACAGAGGCACAATGGGTTCAGGAACTGAACCCCATAGTTCGTTTAGCTAAGTGACAATCATTTGAAGCTAGTTACACAATTGTTAATGTTAACACTTATTTACACAAATACATATAAACATCGATAATCTTTTTATATCACAGGTTATTCAACAAGAGGCTCACAATAGTCACTATACACAAGGAACTTTACATCTATGGTGAGTCACACAGTTACTAGTCTTGCTCCACACCCACCCAACTGGGCGGCAGCTTTACACTCGTGTATTACCTACAGTAAGCAAATCTGGAATACTTGGCTAAGATTCCCGGCAGTACATCATCATGAATAAAGTACTTACACATTTCTTGGACCCCATTGATGGTGTTATTTCTGAATTCCGCGATTTTTTCACATTCCATTATGTAATGACGCAATGTGTGCTAAAGGGAGACGTTAACATTACGCAAATTGCCTTACCTTAAGTGGGCCAAACTTTATACTTTATATCTTATAAACAAAAAAGTATAATTGTGTAAAGTGTGGGTAGTCGCCGGTGAGAGGAGCTTAGCGTTGTGAAATACTAAACAAAAATAGAATATATACACACACTTGAGGCAAGTGTCGAGCCCCCCCCCCCCAAAGGTGGAACTGAAGACCCTCCCAAGGATGCATCCCACAACAGCTCCCTAACCCCCGGGTACATATTTACTGCTAGGTGAACAGAAACTTTAGGTAATAGGATATGTCACTAGTCATTTCTGTCCCGATGGGGTATCGAACGAGGGATTCCCAGAGTGCGAGTTGAGTACCGAGCCCACCGCACCACACAAGACCTAGTAGTGCGTTACAAAATAATGCTAGGCCTTACCTCAGAAATACGTGTGGAGGTTGACGCGTCCTCTACTGGCTGGGACAGTCACCATACATCCTTCGCTCTATATTTCTTTCTTCATTAACCTCGCATTTGAAACTTAAAAATGGTTTACACTTCCTTGTTTCATTAATTCCGTCCTTGTTTGTGTCTCAATGTTGTTAGAAAGTGTCCTTGACACAAGGGACTAGTTTCCTTTGGGGTGTAACCACTTCATTGTCGCAACCTGTCACAGACTGTCAATAGCCCTTCACAGTTTCTCTATCTATTGAATTATACATTACAATGATACACAAATATACACCAAGACACACTGGTATACATTTGGTTGTGGTGAGTGTTGCTGCCAAGACCAGGAAGGTTGAGTAGCACTTGGTCAAGGGTAGAGGTAATGTCCCCAAGTTTCTCCTCACTCAAGTGCGTCAGCTTCCGCTTACTGGCCAGCTTAAGCTTATCTATAGACCATATAAGCGTCCCCTACACCCAAGCTGGGGCCAGCGTCCCCTACACCCAAGCTGGGGCCAGCGTCCCCTACACCCAAGCTGGGGCCAGCGTCCCCTACACCCAAGCTGGGGTCAGTCACTTGACCACCCCTGCAGAACGCCTCAACAAAGCCGTGTGCTGTATATTAATATAGGTTACCAATATTTTCTGCATTGATTATTCATCAAATTCACTTAATGCGGGTGTACCTCCTGGCGTCTATGTCACTGTCAGCTAGTGACCACAGAGAGGCCTGGCTAGTGACTGGATGGGTGATAGCGTCAACAGGCCTGTGTAAAATTATATGTATGACAGTGTCAGACGACGGAGGAAGAATTGAAACAGGAATTTCCTTAAGTACTTTCGTATTTAATAATACATCTTCTGAAGGATTACGGATTATACACACACATACACACCGGTGGCTGAGTGGACAGCACGCTGGATACGTAGTCCTATGGACTGGGGTTCGATTCCCAGCACCGGTGGGAAACTCTGGGCAGAGTTTGTCGCCCAGCAGTAAATAGTTACCTGGGAGTTAGACAGCTAGGCTGCTTCCTGCGGGTGTGTGGGGGAGAAAAAATATAAGCTGATTGGCAGTTAAGAGGCGGGCCCAAAGAGCAGAGCTCAACCCCACAAGCACAGCTAGGTGAACACACCCACACTTTAGGCTTGTATCGAGGTCCTCCGAGGTGGAACTACTAACCCTCCCCAGAAGACAACCCCCACAACAGTTCCCTAACTCGGGTACCTATAATTACTGCTAGGTGAACAGGTGCATTAGGTGAATGGAACCTGCTCAACCATTTCTGACCCGACCGGGATTCTAACTCGGGATTTACGATTGTGATTTGAGAATAAATCCAAATGCAATACACCCCCTAATATGACACCTTCCCCCCCCCCCTTCACCCAGGACCCCTCACTTTCCCCCTTCCTCCCTGGCCCCTCACTTTCCCCCTCCTCCCAGGCCCCTCACTTTCCCCTCACCTAGACTCCTCACTTTCCTTCACTAGCGCCGACTTAATCACCAATCAAAGGTTCTCTTCCAGTGAAAACTTTCTCAAAACTCATCCACAGATTTTCCTTCACTTTTCCCAAACTTTATTTGCATCTTCCACGCACGGAATATGTTCTAATATACTACATTTCAATTCCACTTTACGGAAGTAATATGTTTCATCTTACACTTGGGAAAACAGTGGGTGAGGTCAGAGGCGGGTCCCAAGAGCTAATGCCCCACAGGTATAAGAGATGAGAGGTGAAGCACCGAGCGAGTCAGACTGGGGAGGAAAAGAGCGTCGACCACCCTCCTCGATGTCTGTGGCCGCACTGAGCCTTGATGCTGTGTTGGGGGTGGTGGTTGTCGGGGGCGGGGAGAGGGGCCTCCACCCCCCCTCTCATGAACCAGTACCTTGCATTTTGTACGCTATGGTACCTGGTATTGGTCAAGTTCATTCATCCAGTGAGTGAACAGGCCGCCATAGTGACAGTATTGGGCAAGTTCATTTATCCAGTGAGTGAACATGCCGCCATAGTGACAGTATTGGGCAAGTTGTCTTTCTTTGACCTTTAATAATGTTAACAAGTGTCACTGAAACATGTCTTACTGTCACGCCAAATAAAATTGGAAAATGAACTTTGTAGACTTAATTTTTCAACTTCCTTCTCAAGTGAAGAAAAACATAATAAATTGGAGAAGATTCGGGCAGAATAACTGAAGAAGAAGAAGAATTGATCCCAGTGAATTATATAATGTGATGAGAGTATTGTGAGGCAGCCGTCAGTGTGTAGTGTGAGGCAGCCGTCAGTGTGTAGTGTGAGGCAGCCGTCAGTGTGTAGTGTGAGGCAGCCGTCAGTGTGTAGTGTGAGGCAGCCGTCAGTGTGTAGTGTGAGGCAGCCGTCAGTGTGTAGTGTGAGGCAGCCGTCAGTGTGTAGTGTGAGGCAGCCGTCAGTGTGTAGTGTGAGGCAGCCGTCAGTGTGTAGTGTGAAGCAGTCGTCAGTGTGTAGTGTGAGGCAGCCGTCAGTGTGTAGTGTGAGGCAGCCGTCAGTGTGTAGTGTGAGGCAGCCGTCAGTGTGTAGTGTGAGGCAGCCGTCAGTGTGTAGTGTGAGGCAGCCGTCAGTGTGTAGTGTGAGGCAGCCGTCAGTGTGTAGTGTGAGGCAGCCGTCAGTGTGGAGTGTGAGACAGGCGTCAGTGTGTAGTGTGAGGCAGGCGTCAGTGTGTAGTGTGAGGCAGCCGTCAGTGTGTAGTGTGAGGCAGCCGTCAGTGTGAAGTGTGAGGCAGCCGTCAGTGTGTAGTGTGAAGCAGCCGTCAGTGTGGAGTGTGAGGCAGCCGTCAGTGTGTAGTGTGAGGCAGCCGCCAGTGTGTAGTGTGAGGCAGGAGGGGCCAGCTGCCGACCGTGGGGAAGGCTCTCAAGGCGAACCATTAACCTCTGTACACTACACACTGTGGAAATGTTTGTTTAAGGCAAATATGATGCTTTGGTGCGCCAGAGTGAAAGTTTGGTGGGGCCCGCCAGGTGTGTGCTGGGTGTTGGCTCCTGTGTGGTGTAGGCTCCTGTGTGGTGTGTGGTGTTGTGTACCACTCTCCTATACACCTATGGGCACTTACCTGTCACTGACTACGGGTGAGTGAGGTGTAGCTCTCTATGCCTCGCTTACTACTAGCCTAGTTCTACCCGTTGCTTTATAATTATTCTTCTGTAGTCTTAAGGTTATGGATAGAGGTGGCTTCTACAGCTTCTTCTTTCACAACATTGTACTTGTTAACCACCCGTACAGGACATGTAGTATCTCCTTACATTCCTTCGGCTCATTTGTGTTTCCAGCTTCCACTTGTATCCTCTTGTCCTATTTTCTCTCAATTTAAAGAGCGTATCCATGTCTAGCTTCTCCATTAAGTTGCATCAGCCTTGTAGCTCAACCCTCTTACCTCTGGCACCAGTCTTGTTGCAAACTTTTGAACTATTTCAATTTTTTTGTTTCTTACTTCACAAGGTGCGGGTTCATTGCCAGTGTTGCATATTCCAGTATTGGGCTAACAAATGTTGTGTAGATTGGCCTTCAAGGTGTCTTCATTTAGGTTTCTAAACGATGTTCTCATATGCCAGCGTCCCATATGCTGCTGATGTTATCCTGCTATGTGTGCCCCCGGTGTTAATGTTAGTGTATGATAAGAAAGTAAGTCCACAACGGGCTCACCATAGCCCGTGCTACTTTGGAACTTTTGTTATAAAGTAGCTGCATCTAAAACAACAACAACAACACCATGTCGCCAATATTGAAAAGATGGTCATATGAAATTGATGCTTTTGTTGGCCTAATTACCCCAATTATACCAATTATTTTGGGCAAGTCACTTGGGACAATTGGTGAGTGTGTCTCCGGGTGGGGTGGGGGGGGGGGGTTTACACTTTTCAACCAGCCAGTATACCACACAGGACCCTGTGGCCTCCACTTTGTAAACTGGCTACTTAGCCTCTCATGGGTTAAGCAAACCAAACAGCAATATCACATCTCTTCATACACATTTCTCATGTATATTTTGGTTATTTCTCATGTATATTTTGGTTATTTATCATGTATATTTTGGTTATTTCTCATGTATATTTTGGTTATTTCTCATGTATATTGTGGTTATTTATCATGTATATTGTGGTTATTTCTCATGTATATTGTGGTTATTTATCATGTATATTGTGGTTATTTCTCATGTATATTGTGGTTATTTATCATGTATATTGTGGTTATTTATCATGTATATTGTGGTTATTTATCATGTATATTGTGGTTATTTCTTATGTATATTGTGGTTATTTATCATGTATATTGTGGTTATTTCTTATGTATATTGTGGTTATTTATCATGTATATTGTGGTTATTTCTTATGTATATTGTGGTTATTTATCATGTATATTGTGGTTATTTCTTATGTATATTGTGGTTATTTCTCATGTATATTGTGGTTATTTATCATGTATATTGTGGTTATACAGCCCCAGTGTGATTAGGTAAAAATAAAAGTCTGGCATTGATTTATTTGTGTTAGAGGATAATTTAGTGTATACATGTGATTGTGTATTACAATTAGCGGTAAGGGACGTAATATATAATGTGTACTCTAAATATTCTACAATCATGGGTCACAATCGTCAGAATTGTGGTGGAAATTGTTCGACAATCCTCTGTCACAGCCGTCAAGAGTAAGGTGGAAAATCTCATTTGAAATTTGGCATATTAGTATAAATAATTGTTGTAATTGTATTAAGAAGTTATTACACTGTGTAACTAAAATTGTTATTGTTTGTGTCCCCGGGTGGAAAGGTGTCCTTTGTTAATTAATTGCTCGTCTCAAATGTCCAGAAAATTGCTGTACAATTTCTATGTACTTTCTTACTTTAGTACTTTATGTACTTTATGTAATATCTATGTACTATGTAATTTCTATGTACATAAACAAAGATCTATGTATAAATATATATTAAAATTTTAAGAATTTTACAAAATATTCATTAGGTTACCACTGATGGGGGTGGGGGGGTGGGGGGTGGGGGTGGGGGGGGGGGTTGACACTGGTGTGAGATGTAAAATGGAGTTGAAAGTGTATAATATATATATAGGTCAGTAGGTTTTGTTATTATTGAATGACCTTACCCCCTCTCCCTCCCACTTCCTCCCCCTCCTCTCCCCCTCTCACACCCTCCCCCTCTTCCGCTTCTCACTTGTTTGTGTGTGTAAAGCAGATGGAGAGGCACAAGTGAAGGGAATGTTTAGAAATGGGAAATATGGTGTGGTTACCATAGGAGGCGGACTGTCCGCCTTGCTGACACCGTGTGTGTGTGTGTATTGTGTAGCTAAGTAAGCTTCCTCTCTCTCTCTTGCCAGGGAGCTGTGAGAGTGTGAGAGAGGTCCTTCACACTCCCCTCCCCCACCTCCCTCAACGCTCCCCTCATCTTCACTATACCCATTCTATCCCCCTCATCATCCCCTACCCCCCCCCCCTGGCCCTGTCAGCATGGCAGCACAGGTGGCACCCGCCCTCTTATGTTCAATTACCGGAAGTGTCCACTGTTGACTGACACAAGGGGGGGGGGAACAAGGCCCACCCAGTATGTGGGGGGAGGGGGGTGTATGAATGGGTGGACCTCTGCACACTGTATGGTTCCGTTGCACCCTAGTTGTGCTTGTGGTGGCTTGCCTCCAGCTCCTGGGCTCCGGGAATTTAATCATCAACCGCTTGGTGCAATGTTTTGGTCTGTGGCACATGACCTCCTCGCGCCTCCATGCTCCTGGAGTCTATACCACAGGCACCTTGGCTCTAATGGCATACACCTGTAGGAGGCGAGGGTTTATTGTGGCCTGCCCAGGTGTGGGGGCAGGTGTGAGGGTGCAGTTGTGGGGGCAGGAGGTGTGAGGGGCAGGTGTGAGGGGCAGGAGGTGTGAGGGGCAGGAGGTGTGAGGGGCAGGTGTGAGGGGGCAGGAGGTGTGAGGGGCAGGAGGTGTGAGGGGCAAGAGGTGTGAGGGGGCAGGAGGTGTGAGGGAGCCACCAGTATCAGGAGCCAGGCACTGAACACTCACTCAACACTCCCAAAAATACACCTCACTTAACGAGAAGGAGGTCATTGATAATGGTGATGGGTGGGGGTGGTGGTGGTGAAGGGTAGTGGTGGTAGAGATGGGTGGTGGTGGTGATGGGTAGTGGTGGTAGAGATGGGTGGTGGTGATGGGTGGTTGTGGTGGCGGAGATATATTGTAGTGGCGATAGTTGGTGGTGGTAGAGATGGGTGGTAATGGGTTGTAGTGTCTACCTGTCAGTGACTACGTGAGAGAGAGAGAGGTCCACCTCCTCGTCCTCTGGCTGTACCTGTTGTACCTGATGTGTTACAGGTGACGTTCAAATTTTCTGTCACATCTGACCTTAAAGTTGTGGATGGAGGTGGCTTCCAAAACTTCTTCTCTCTGAGCATTCCACTTGTACGAGTATTTCATTACATTGCTTTGATTAATTTTCGTTTCCAGATTACACTTATGTCCTGGTTTTACTGGCTCTCGATTTAATGAGGCTGTCTTTGACCACTTTGATTATTCTCCTCGGTATCTTATATGTTGCGATCATGTCCGTTCTGTTTCTTATGTCCTCTAAGGTTGTGAGATGCAGTTTCCTTAACTTAGCCTCACAACCCCTCTCAGTTCTAGCATTAATCTTCTTGCCAACCTCTCTACTTTTTGCTTCATAAGGTGAGGCTACCAGGTCGCAGCTTCTCTAACCCTGTCCATGGAGGACAGAAGAAAATGTATATATATGCTGGTTAGCATTGTAAATGTGTG